GGTGGCCACTCCCCTTTAATTGTTTGTTACCTGATAAATAAATACCCGCATGCTTTATTGCTTTTTCTTAAACTTCATTGTTATCCAAATTTGCGAGACCTCGCATGTTTCCAATAAAAGCCCTGACGATACTCACTGGGCGGTGTGTCGTCACTTCTGGGCGCTTTTCTTTTCTTTCTTTGCTTGGGCATCGCTTTTCACACTGCTGAGCGCGGCACGCTGAATAATCTGTTCTCTCTTTGTTTCTCTCGTGTATGTGTGTGTGTGTGCTGCGCCACGATGCGCATGTTGGGCTGCTGCTGCTGTGGGAGGTGGTCTGTGTGGTGCTGCTCTCCCCGTTGTGTGTGTGTGTATTGTGCGTCTGTAAGTGTTTGCTTTTCCTCTTCTCTCTCCCCGCTAGACAAGTAAGCCCAAGCCACGCAAGCCAGTATGACCGTTCCTGTTGTGGTGCGCGGACGTGTTCTCTGTGTGTTTTCCCTTGCGCTGCTCTGTGTGTCCGTCTCCGCCACGGCAGCCGAACAAGCAGTGGCAGTGGAGGCTGCAGAGGCTAACGTTGTAACTGCTAGGAAAGCAAAAGAAGCGGCGATTACTGTAGCTAAGGATGCAAAGTTGGCTGTGGAGAAGGCAAACACAACGAAGGTGATGGCCGGAGTAGCAGTGCTGTATACCAATAGGTTCATGAAGTTATTCGAGGAAGCAAAGACTATATTTCAGAAGGCCTCGACGTTTGCTGAGACGGCAAAGAAGATTGGAGAGAATAAAGAGAACGAAGTTCGGGCTCAAAATGAGCGTGTTACAGCAAGATGTGAAAAATTTAGGATCCAAGTGGAAGAAGCTGCGAAGAAGGCTGACGCAGCCGTGATGAAGGCTGCGCTGGCAGGGAAGTATGTGTACACCGCATCTCTGGTCGCACGGTGGGCCGCGGGGAATGGCACGGAGGCTGAGCGCCTTCTCAAGGACGGTGCAGTGAACAGTGCCAAGGATGCAGTGGAGGAGGCCAATAAAGCAGCTATACATGGGCTCTTGGCGGCGGGGAATGCTCAGGGTGCGGTGCGGTGGATTAAGGTCACAGCTCAAGCAGCCAGGTGGGCTGAGGCACGGGCAGAGGCACGGGCAGATCGGAATGGGAATACAATTGGCGAAAAATTGCTCAAGGCCGCTACGGACGCAGTGATGTATGCCCAAAGGGCGATGACAAATATCACGGAAGCAAAAAAGCAGGCCGATGTTATGCTTCAGGCCGCCAAAAAGGCAGCAGATGCCGCCACGAAGTTTGACCAGGAGGCTAAAGCGGCGAGGACAGCTGCTGAAGATGAGATCACGGCTGCAGAGAAACGGCTTAACGAAGCTGAAGAGATGCTGAAGGATGCTCAGCAACAAGAAAAAGAAGCCATTGAGGACCAGAAACGAAAACAGGAAGCAGAGGTGCTGCGACAGATGGAGGAGTTGAAGAAAACCACTGAGGATACAGAAAGGTTGAAAAAGCTAACATTGGATGATCATGCGAACTCAGCTGGCGTCGTTAATACGTCAGTTAACGGAGAAGAGAATTCCTCTGAGAGGTCAGCGCCAGTGGTGGGGACTCTTGATGATCCAGTGGTAGATGTTAAGGAGAACGGCATGGATGCTCCAATAACTCTACCTCATGACCCTGCTGCTGAACCACCTACCCAAGAGATACAACGAGATTCACACGTCAACAATCCTGCGGGGAGTCAACAAAACGATATTCTTCCTATGGATCATCATATTGAGGAGGAGCCCTCCAAAACTGCTGCTCACGATGAGTCACCCTCTCACCCAGTTGCCTTGGAAGCCCCCAGTGCAGTTGATGAAGCCCCACATTCTGCTAAGCCAGAGCAGAATGAAATCCCTGCGACGACAGTAGACAGCAACACTGGAAGTGAGACGGATACCACAAACACCTTCACGGTCAGCGCGCACGATCACAACGCCACAGAGAGCAGCGAGGAAACTAGCGTTTCTGATACAAATACCCCTGACATCAATCGACCTGCAGTTGATATCACGGCCCCCGACACAAACCAGTCTCCATCAGTACCATCGGAGGAGAAGACAGCCGTAGAATCCCTGGAGAACGCTGCTTCTCAAGCTGCTGATGCGCCACTGACACCCCCCAACAGCGATGTACACAACACCCTGCAGGATATCCGCAGTATGGACAGCAGCGTCAGTCCTTCGTGGGTGCGTACACCGTTGCTGCTGGTGGTTGGTGTGCTGGGCCTCCTGGCTGTCTGCTGAGCTCTGTGTGTGCACACGGAGAGGACGCATACACCCTGTGCTTGTGTGTGCTGCCATGGAGATTGTTTACTAATATGTTTTGGTTAACTTTACTTTTCGTTTCACTTTCTTTTCTTTTGTTTCTCCCGCGCCACCTAATCCCCCTTGGAGGATACTCCCTGTGCTCTGTATCCAACGAGGACGGCGCATCTCTGTCACTGCTGTAATGGGCTTTGCTTGGCACATGACTGTGCGCCGCCCACATGAGAGGGCCTTCTCTGAATTATTCTTCTAAATGTCTCTCGCTTGTGAGTGAGCTGCGCCATGCTGCGTGTGCTTTGTTCGCCCTGGCTCTTGCAGGAATGCGTGGCGGCTGCCCGTTTTTGGGCGTACATCATCCCCCTCTTTGTTTTGGGCTTCGGCCTCTTTTTCTACGGGGTTGTGTGCCATCCGCTGTTTAAGCGTTGCTTTGTTAATTGTTGCGGTGCTCTGCGTAGCACAGCGGTGGAGTGGTGCTGTGGCGGAGTGTGCGGTGCGGCGCCATTGGGCTGGCGGACGCGTGCGGCTCCACAGTAAGTGCACGACCCCGCACCACCGCATGTTCCGTGTCCTCAAGTATGCGTGCTTGTGTGTTTGGGAGGGGTGAATGCATTTGCTCCCGCAGCAGGATTAAGGAGATGCCTGTGAAGAATTTTCCGCTGCTGCGGGGATGGCTCGTATGGTGAATTCACCCCCGTTGTTTTTGTTTCTTGTTTTCTCTCCGCTGCGCCATCGCAGTGACGGGATGCAGCACTGACGCCACTTGGGCTTTGTGGTGAGGTGCTTTCCAGAGGTGAGAACTGTTTTAATTCTTGATTGTTTGGGTTTGGGGGTGTTGGGGTCTTTTCTGAACATCTGAGAGGGGAAGAATGTCGAGGAGTCTTGCTGCTGCTGTGCCTGCGGTGTGTGCACTGTTCCGCATCGTTGCCTCTCTCCTCTCTCTCTGCTGCTGTNTAGGCAGTGCTGCTGCGCTCGTGGAAGTGACTGCGTGTCGCCGCCGCTGGCTGAGGGGTGCTGTGATGGTGCGGCTAAGGTGTGAGTGAGTCAGCGGCACAGCAGTGCAGGGCCCCCTGTGCGGCTGGGACGATGTGCAGCTGCGGTGCTTTCCCTCCTTTTCACCGCATTTGCTCTTGTCGCCTGCGGTGTGTTCAGCTGTGTCAAGCGTGGCCTGTGCATGTGGCGGTGTCTGTGGGAGTGACCTGTGGGTGTGGTGGTGCTGTGGGCGAGGGCCACGGAGGTGCGGCGAGGCTTGCGGGGGCTGCGCAGAAGAGATGCGAGGAACTCCGTGTGGGTGCAGAGGAGGCGGTGAAGAGGAAGGCTGAGGAGGAGCTGTGTGGTGAGTCAAGGAGGCGGAGTGTGGCTGCCACCATGGCTGGTGCTCACTCTTCGTGCTGCTGGAGTTCAGCGGGCGTTGCCCAGGACGGTGTTGGTGCGACCGCTGTGTGTGGCTGGAAGAGAAGCATGGGCACGGTGCCGGGGGAAGAAGAGACGAGTCGGATGGCAGCGGTGGTGGTGAGTGGGTGCATGCGCCGGCTGTGCTGCTGCTGCTGTGTGTGCTGGGCTGTCTGCAGAGTGAGCGGTTGTATCCGTGTGATTGTGTTGCGTCCCTGAGCCACGATTGACATGCTATTAGACTGTTGTTGTTGTTTTTGCAGTGTCTTGCCGCACTGCTGTGGGAGGGACGTCAATGCACTAACCTTCGACGGCACTCAGTGTGGTTTGCTGCTGTTGTGGGTGTGGGGTAATGTCTTCTCTTGGTGCCTGGGCCTTGCTGTGTGCGTGACTGTGCGCCGCCCCTTAAGTGTTTTGTTGTTGGTTGTTGCGTGGGGTGGCACTGTGCATGTGCTGGGCTTCTGTTGGAGCCACCACTGGGCTGTGGGTGGAGTGTGGTGCTTACTGTTGGTGCTGTGTGGTGTTGTGGTTCTCTCACTGGTGGTTACTGTGTGCTTGGCTGCCCTCTGTTGTTGATTCTTGTGTAGGCCTTTGCGTCGAAGCGACTCTGACTGCAGTGTCATGCTGGTGGTGCGCCACGTGCTGTTCGTTGTTGCCCTCCTGCTGCTGTGCGGGATTGTGCCGGCTGTCAGGGCGTCAAGAGGGAAGATAGATACGGCGAGAGATGCTCTTTCTCGTGTTAAGGAACTTGCAGAGACAGCAAAGCAATCTGCGGAAGCTGCTCTCGCGAAGGCTGAAGAAGCTAAGAATGATGCCACAGGTGGACTAAGTGCTGCGAGGGAGGCACAAACTGCGGCTGCGGTCCTTGAAAAGGCAGTCCAAGCTGACGTTGATCATGTAAAGGCCGCTAAAGTTAAACAGGAAGCGATCAGCGCCCAGTCAAAAGCTGGGAAAGCAGGGCGACTTCTTTTTAAGTTGTCCGCAAGCTCATACAGCGTGAAGGTCGCAGCGAGCGATGCAGTTACGAGTGTGAAGGCGGTTATGGACGAGGCTCAAAAAGTTGTGAAGCTGCTCGATGGTTCACTCTCAGCGAAAGCAAACGCAGTGGTTGAGCACGCAGAGTCCACCCATGCAGCGTTGGTGAGCGCCTCGAGTAATGCCAGTTCGTCATCGGACGAATCAACGGCGGCTCAGAAGAGCGCAGAATTAGCAGAGAAACACGCTAAAGACGCAGCGGTTGATGCCGGCATGGTGGCGGGAGCGACCAAGGAGACGGAAGATGTATTAGGAATACGCAACAATAAAGCAAAGCTCAAGAGTTACGCTCAGACTGCACCACCAAGTGTCACCACAATGGTGGAAAAAGCCGAAAGTGCGAATAAACAAGCCACAACTGCACTGGAGAACGCTAAGAAAGCGGTTGAAGCCGCTGGAAAAATGGTGGAGGCTGCAGAGGCTGCGGAAAATGCTGCTGATGAAGTTGTAAAGCAAACAACGAAAGGTGGTATTCCATCACCTATCTCTCAGAAAACAATTGAACCACCACTGCAGCAAAAAAAAGATGACAACAGGGAGCGCCCCAGCGTCGCAGTGAATCAGGCAAGTAACGAAGGTGCTGCTTCTCCTAATTTACCAAATGGTGGACATGCTGTAGGACAGCGCCAAGTGATACCAGAAGGTAAGAAAGAAGTGGAAGTACCTAACAATACTCCTGTTGCAGCTGCTTCTCAAACACCGGCAGAAGGAAAGGACAACACCCGAACACTTC